TGTGTGGTTGTTTCAATTAGTGTGTAGTCATCTAGATTTTCAGTATTAATCTTGTAATTTTGAATAGTTTTGTTTGTATGTGTTGTGTTGATGATTCTAACGAAAGTTTGATCCTTATTTGTGATTGTGTTTGCTATGAAAATTCCTTCAGATAGTTGTTGATGCGGTATTAAGATGTTTTTGTTATCGGTGTTTACTTTAACTTGCCTAATGACTTCGGACCTAGCAGGGATCGTAATTGTATTGACAGACAGACAATTTGTTAGGTGCATTGTTATTGTTTGGGGAAAATCATATGGTCTTGGGATTAATTTATCTTCTGTTTTTCCGTAATCTAAAATACAATTGTATTTCTTTATGAATTATTTTATTATTCCATCGCATGGTATTGGAAAGTCGTCTTCTACGACATGGAATTTGTGGTAAATTAGAAGGTCATCACCTTTTAAATCCGCTTTAACTGTGCCTAATGTGCTGGTTATACCCTGACCAATGCCCTTTAAATCAGTAATTTGCTCTGTATTTATTTTATGATTATTACTAACTTGATATTTTTTAATAATGGAGATGTCTGCTCCTGTGTCTATTAAGAAATTTGAAATTGAATTATTTAATCATGTCCTTGTAGATATATGCTGTTTAGATGTAGATTTAGTACGCACACTTTCCTATCTACTGATTTTGAAGTGGAGTTTCCTGGTTTTCCGTCTGGGTGCAGCTGCGCACGTTACGGGTCTGGTTATAAGGTCTATTGACGTTTTGGGTTTGTGATCCTCTCTGTGTATTATTATTATTATTAGACCTAGAGTTATTGTTGTATCTTGGTTGTGGTCTAAATCTCCTACCTTGGTAACTTCCATAGTTGTTACTTCGGTAACCTCCACGGAAATTACTCCGGTACTGACTTTGTTGTCGTAAATTCAAAATTGTGTTTGAGCTGCCCGTTATTTCGGTACAGCTGTTGGTAAATTTGGAGATTGCGTCGTTCATTGTTGTGAACGTTCCCGCTTGCATGATCATTTTGACCTTGTCATTGGAGCAGTTTTTACACATAGCTTTGACTGCTGCTTGTGTTGAATATCTCGTTGCTAAGTCTGGATTAAGTCCATCCGAGATATAAGCTCCTTCTAATGATCTGGTGATTTTTTCTTTTCAGCGGTGTACTGATTTGCAGTTTTGCTGCGTTGTTGGATGTTCAGAAGTTTTGCTGTTAAAACTTCTACTGATTCACCCTTTATTGCAGTTTTTAGTTTTGCTTTTATTTGTGCTATTGTGCTTTCATTACTAATGAAGTTTCTTGCCGTGCCTTTTAGCTTGGTTTTTATCATGGTTATTGCTAAGGCTTCGTGGGCATCTTTGATTTGATCAAGTATATCAAGGGCGTCTAGGAAACTGTGTAAATTCTCCGGCTTACCATCAAACTCTGGTAGTACTGATGAAGCAGTTTTAATAAATTCAACTACTGTTTGTGGCATTGTAACGTTTATATTAAGGCTGTCTAATGGCTTATTTTCTTCCACTGAAGGAGTCTGACTCGGAGAAGGTGATGGAGTCCGGTACTGGGCCGGTTCTGATGAAATTAAATTAAAATCAACCTGGAGTTTCTCCTCTACTGTGGTTGGTATTGTTATTTCTATATTGTGTCTAGCTAAAGAGGATACCAATTTATCTCGTACGGCGAAGAAAAATTGGTGGGCTTCTTTCTGGTGTTCTTTGGTAAGTATACGGTTTGTCGTATTGATCACCTGTCTTATTCTTTTTAGAGCTTCTAAAATTATGTTCAAATGCTTTACTATTGTTTCTATTTTTATAGTAGCATTTTTATTTATGCATTTGTACGACTTACTAGCTTTTGTTTTTTCTTCAGATAATGCGTCGTATATTTCTTGCCATTGATTCATTTCTTGGTATATAGAATTTTTGCTTAGACGCGTTGGTGTACATCGTTCAATTGTCTCAATTTATTCTTTATATAGTTCTTTATTAAAATAACAATTACGACAATTAAAAATGTAGTTATGCATCCAAAAATACTTAATCATTTATTTGAATGTTCTTCCTTATTTTCTATATTAAGGTGTGGTTCGTATCTAACCAGTTTATTTTCGTGGTTTTTCTCTGCCGCATTTTCCTTACCTACTTCGTATCCTGCTATTCCTATTAGGATGCCGTTTAATGCGATTTTCCACCATGCCATTTTCTAAATAATAATTTTTTTCTTTTATTTTTATTTATTTATTGACAAAAAAACATTCCAATTTACTCGATATTAATTTTATTTTCTGTTCCTTAATTCTTTTATTTTTTTCTTTAATTCTATCCTATATGCTGTATTAGTAGTCAAGTTTAGTCGCCTAAAGGTTTCAGCTATTTCCTTCTTTTTTTTAAATGTCTACCTGCTCGTTTCCTTTTTTTGATTTTTATTGGGGTGGGTATTTTAGGAATATCTTCCTTTTTATTGAGCTTATTCCGTCGCCGATGCTCTTCTATGGTAATCGGTGTCGGACCTGGCTTTATATTTTTACGGTTTTTTAGAAAATTTTCAGAAATTTTTATAAATTCTTTTATAGTGTCTTCGCACTATGGAACTCTTCTTCGGTAGTGATTTCTTGCATTATAGAGTGAAAAATAAAAATTTCTGCTCTTGGTTAAGCGCCGTGAGACTGCCCAATTTAATCTGACATTAGTTGAGCGCCGTGAGGCTGCCCAATTTAAATTATTAATTATACTTATAGATAGTGGCTGCCAG